AGCAAATGACTTGTTCGGGATGCGCCCACCACAAGAAGCTCGGATCAAAGTTTTGGTATCCATTCTGAGTCCTCGAAAGAAGGTGTTGATCAGGTTGTTCTTGTCAAGCCCGTGATGAGGGCAAGACTTCTGATATCCTTTGTACCTCTTCCAAGCGTTATAAAGGCTTTCCCCGTGATCTTGCTTGAATGAATGAATGCCAGAAAGAGCTGCTTGAGTGCGGTGAGCTGGGAAATTTTTTGACATAAACTGCACTTCCAACTGTTCCCATGTGTGGATGGAATCGGGTGTTAGATCGTAACACCATTCCAAAGCAGCATCCAAGAGAGTCCAGGGGAAAGCAATCAAGTGGAGTGTATTCTCTGTCACCCTGTTATCTCTCTTGATAGAACGACACTGTTGGTTTAGTGCTCTATGATGTATTGTTATGCGAGTTTTATTATGATACATTTGATGTATTGACACTTTCTATGAGTTTACAGATGAGTGTTTGATTCATTACGTATTGTGCATACTTGATATGTTATGAAATCCATGTATTGTTATGAACAATATTAAACTCTCTATTCATGTATCATTGTGGGAATAATGATATACTAAGACTAGTATGATGTGTGATTGATGATCATATAGATGATCATAGGTATTGGATACAATCACAATCATAGGTATTCGTTGGAGAACAGAATACTGGATTGACCCGCATGAGATTGTCACATGGACTAGCATCATGACTTGAATCTCATATGGCGGTTCCATGATTGGATCCTAAGACCTGAGATATCTACGAAATCCAACATGAGGAGTTGCGTGCTTTGAATACGTCAAACGTCCTGCGTAACAGGAGGACTATAAAGACGTGTATCAGGTACGAAACGAATCATGTGCTGGATTGTAGATAGTCAAGGCGGGATTTGTACCTCTCGTAAAAGAGAGAGATATCACTGGGCCCCTCGTGTGAGCGAGACTGTAGAAATGTGTGGCCGCACTATAGACGAACGTCGTCTATTTCAGACAGTCGAACTCAGTGAACGAGAAAGCAGTCGAATCAGATAAGGTGGCTTGTCCATGCCTTATGTTCGACATATGATATCGCGATACAAATGGATCATCAGCCGTAATCATCACTGGCGTTCGTAAGATCATGAACAAACTCTATTCGAGATAGGTAGTCATAGTGTCTTGCTAGAGACCGCCTATGACTTGTATATCCGAAATAGAGATTTCGGGTTATACTGCTATATCGAATGAGTATACAGGGTCACACACGTAGGGAAGGACGAAACGCACGAGAAAACGACGGAAAAACCGAGACGAAAGGGGCTGGAACAGACGGACCGAAAGAGTTAGGCCCGACGGTCCGCCAAGTCCAGACCCGACGGTCCATATTTAGACGCAGACCGTCTGTTCTAAGTGTTAGAACGGACGGTCCACGTAGACGGCAGACCGTCTGTTCTGGCTTGTCTGGAACGGACGGTCCACGTGTGTAGACCGTCCATTCTGGCTCGCGATACAAAACCGAATAGCAGATTCGGGTCCTAGCAGACAAGTTCCAATCGTTGGAATCCATCCCGAGGTGTGGACACGTGTAGAGGGCGAGGTAATCTTCCTCCCTTTAGTGATCGGACGAATGGATCAATTGAAACAGGCCCCGGATCGATTGAGGTCAGCGTTCTAACGTTTCTACGTAAACATGCATGCATGGTTCTAGGGTTTCTTCAAAATTTTGTTTTATATCCGTTGCGCAAACCCTAGAATCGATCTCTTATGAATAGGATTCGCTCATGAGATCCTAGGAAAACCAACAGGGTATCAGAGTTTGGTTGCTCTGTTTTGATTTCTGAGAACCCCATCACGCACGTTTTAGGATTTGAATTGTTTAAATCCATGTTTGCTTTGAGTTCTATGCATGTTTGATGATTGAATCTATGGTAGATTGCATGTTTCATTTGCATAGAGTGCAGGAGTTCGAATTTTGAAAGTACAGAAGAATTTGGATCAGTTTCGGGTCTAATCGGGGCGGAAAACGCGGAAAAACGTGATCTGACCACGAAGACCTAGCCTAGACCGTCCGTTCTGAGTATGCCAGACCGGACGGTCCAGGGGTGACGGACTGAAGTTAGATCGAAAGGTCTGGACCGTCCGTTCTGAGTCTGTGGACCGTCCGTTCCAGATAGTCTGAGTACGGACCGTCCGTTCTGGCTCACTAGATCGTCTGTTCCATGGCTAAGAGTCGACCGTCCGTTCTGCAGCTATGGACCGACCGTTCCGTCTGTTCTCCAAGGCTGGTCCGTCCGTTCCACACCTGGAACGGACGGTCCGAGGCCCAAACTCCGATATTTTTCCGTTTTCTAATCCGATTATGCAATTGTTGCTTAATCTGATTGACTGTGACTCAAATAGACATGATTGATTCTTATGGATGGTCCATAGTGAATGAATGCATGTAACTTAATCAAGATATTGGATATGCTTGATTGAGTGGGAGCTTCGTGAGACTTAACGGTACAGATGAGACGAGTATGCAATGATATTCGATATCATAGTCTCATAAAAGGATCTAAGAGTCACATTGGATGTGATTGGCATTAAATGTCTACCTAAATAGCGTAATGCTGAGTATAACAACTCATTCTTATGTGAAATACGGATCTTAGTCCCATATAGAAAATTATTGTAGGGTTAATTTTTTGTATGGGAATATAGCTTGTAGATACATCTATGTTGTCGTTGATTGATGATGGACTAGCTGGTAGTAGATCATTAATAAGTTGTCGTTGATTGATGATGGACTAGCTGGTAGTAGATCATTGATAGAATCTGCATGTAGATGTGTTTTCGTTTTATTTTGTCTTTTTCTGTAGAACATAACGTCGATCGGTAGTATACCGAAGTTGACGATGCGATCTGTCCTTATGAAGGATAAACCTCTTACCACGGCTTCTAGATCGATCATTGATGCTTATTGGAAGCATGTGGATGATGATCTGAACAAGTCTAGCTTGATATTTGGAAAACGTGACTTCGAAATTGCGTAAGCAATTAGAGGACATGGACGATTCTTTGATAGTTGATCAGTAGAATGCGTCATTCCAAAAGAAAGCTGAGAACCACGGAAAGAGTAATATGGTAGTTGTTGGAAAGAGTTTCAGCAAAAGGAAGCGTTCCAAGAGCAAGGGCAAGAGGAAAGTGACAAGCGTTGTCATTGAACCTAAGTCTAAGTCCAAGAAGGAAGAGTGTTATTTCTGTCATGTCGTTGGGCATTGGTATAGAAATTGTAGACTCGACCTGGAAGATCAGGAGAAGAAGAAGCTTAGAGAAGCATCGACTTCTGGTGTCTTCGTTATAGAGGCTAATTTGTTTACTTCTACATCGTGGGTATTAGATACCGGAAGTGCCTCGCACATTTGTTGAAATGTGCAAGGGCAGCGAAGAAGTAGACAACTGGCAAAAGGAGAAGTAAATCTCCGTGTTGGGAATAGAGCAAAAGTTGCTGCATTAGCCGTCGGGACTTATGATCTGACTTTACCTTCTGGCCTTGTATTGGAGTTGCATGATTGTTATTTTGTTCCTGCTATCAGCAAGAACATCATAACGATTTCATGTTTAGACTCGGACGGTTTCAGATTTGTTATTGAGAACAAAGGTCTGTCCATTTATAGAGGTGATTCGGTAAAGGTTACCAGTTTAATGGCCTTTATGTTTTGGATGACGAACCGTCAAGATACAGGTCTATCTATAACGTTTGTACCAAACGGTTTAAGCCGAATGACTTAAACCCGACCTTCCTCTGGCATTGTCGTCTAGGCCATATAAACGAGAAGCGCATTCAGAAGCTTCATTCTGAAGGTCTTCTGGATTCGTTTGACTTTGAGTCTCTTGAATCTTCCGAGTCTTGTTTAGTGGGTAAGATGACGAAGCATCCTTTCAAGGGGAAAGGATAGAGAGCGACAAAGTTACTGGAACACCACAGTGGAATGGCGTGTCTGAACGGAGAAACCGAATACTGTTAGACATGGTTCGGTCGATGATGAGTCAGACAAATCTTCCGAAGTTCTTTTGGGGCTATGTTTTTAGAGACCGCTGCGTACCTGCTGAGGAGTCCAACGAAGTCGGCTGAAACGACGCCATATGAGATTTGGACAGGGAAGCGTCACGCGTTGTCGTTTGTCAGAATTTGGGGTTTACGTGAAGCGCCAGATGACTGATAAGTGTTTATTTGTAGGCTACCCTAAGGAAACAAAGGGCTACTACTTCTATATTCCGGCAGAGAACAAGGTGTTCATTGCTAGGAATGCTACTTTTATGGAGCGAGAGTTCGTCTCCAAAAGAGTCAGTGGGAGTAGGATCGAACTTGAGGAAGTTCGAGAGAAACAAGTAGACGCTGAGCCAAGTGAACAAGTTGAAGACGTTCAACCTGATTCACTGTCGGTTGTGACTCAACCTTCGACGAGTGAACCTCGGAGATCAGGCAGGATTCGCCAAGAGCCTGTGAAATACGGATTTCTCGTGACTGGGAATGAGGAGATCATGTTATTGGAACATGATGAGCCTACCACATACCCAGAGGCTATGGCGAGTCCGGATTCCGAGAAATGGCGCGAGGCTATGAAGTCCGAGATGCAATCCATGTCAGACAACCAAGTATGGACTCTGGTTGATGCATCTGAAGGGATAAAACCCATCGGATGAAAGTGGATCTTCAAGAAGAAGACCGACATGGATGGCAACGTGCATACGTATAAGGCATGACTTGTGGCGAAAGGATTCCGTCAAATTCATGGTATTGACTATGTTGAGATCTTTTCGCCTGTAGTTATGCTGAAGTCCATCATGATCCTGCTTGCCATAGCTGCATATTACGACTATGAGATATGGAAAATGGATGTCAAGACCGCATTCCTTAACGGGTGCTTGACCGACGATGTGTACATGACACAACCCGAAGGTTTTGTCGATCCAAGGAACCCGGGGAAGGTGTGCAAGCTTCAGAGGTCCATTTATGGACGGTTGCGGAAAATGCGGTGGTTTCTCTCCTTCCACAACTCGTAAACTGCAGTTTGAGCGATCAGCCTGCTGATTGTCTTCATGTTCCTTGCAAAGTCGTTGCTCGGATTGTCTATCCATGATAGGCAACTTTGTAGGTCCTCCGGTGGGTTAGGCCAACAGTAAGAGCCAAAGAAACTCCATAGTTGCTTGTTGTAGGAGCATTTGAAGAAGAGGTGTTGATGTATTTCCTCTTCCCCTCCACAAAGGTTGCATGAGGTATCTGATATGACACCCCAACAGTTGAGGTGGTCTTTCGTCGGAAGTCGGTTGTGCATCGCTTGCCATTGAACAAAGGCATAGCGAGGAACATAGTGTTGAAACCAAACAAGTGAATACCATTGGACCGCCGGTTTGGGTGTCGGAATTTGGTTCCAAGTGGTTGACGATTTGAAGGTAGGCTTGAAGTCATTGTCACCATGCTTCCAGAGTACTAAATCTGGCCCTTGGTCAGCAGTAGGTGGCTGTGTTCTAGCCAATAATGTGTGCAGCTCCTGGATTCGGTCCGACCTTGCTCCTGGTAGATTCCATGCGTCACCTCTTGTTGCTTCCCATACAGTAGCATTCCTAGGCAGCCAAAGTAGACTAGGTCCGTTTCCTCCAATGTAGGCAAGCAAGGGCCCTAGTTCAGTCCAATTGTCGTGCAAGAAATGTGTTGTCTTCCCATCCCGTAGCTAGATTTTGATGAGGGATCTTGCCTTGTCTTCGACCCCGAGTAGTTTCCGAAGATTCCACGAGAAGTGTGTAGCTGGTTTCGTGTCCCAGAAGCCCTTGGATTTGAAGATGTTATAGCGCGTCCATGCCACCCACAACGAACCTGACTTTGTAAACAACAACCAAATTAGTTTTAGTTTGAAAACAACATTATAGTCCTCGATTCGTCTTAGTCCTAGGCCACTTTCTTTTCGCGGCTGGCACATCGTCTCCCATGATATTTGGTGCATAGCTCTTCCATTCCCTCTTGAGTCCCAAATGAATTTGGAGCATAGGCTATCAACTTGCTTAACAAAGAATCTCGGTAATACAAATATTTGGCTCCAAGAATTTATAAGACCATAAATAACAGAGGCAATCAATTGGACTTTCCCGACAGCAGAGAGAAACCGAGTTGTCCATACGCTGAGCTTGTCTTTAATCCGCTGGAGTAGAGGTAGGTAATCAGCCTTTGTTAATCTCCAAGGGCAGAGCGGAACCCCTAGGTACCTCACCGGTAAGGTACCCTTGTTGAACTCTACAGTTGAGCAGATTTCATTTGCTAGATTATCAGCAAATCCTAAAAGGAACAACTCCGTTTTTGATTCGTTGATGCGGAGGCCAGAATGCTTGCCAAAGGTATCTAACACTTTCTTAATCTCACGAAGCGACTGCAAATCCCCTTTCAAGAAAACCATGATGTCGTCAGCAAATGAAAGGTGGGAGATTATCGGCTTGCACATTTCGGGTGAAGTTGAATCCGGTTGTCCGTAACTCCTTTGTCCAACATTCTTGACAAGATCTCCATGGATAAAATGAATAGGTATGGAGAGATCGGATCATCTTGACACAGACCTCGCTTGCCTTTGAAATATCCCGCTAGCTCCCCATTGATAGATATCGAGAACTTCGGGGTGGTGACACATGTGCCAATCCAAGCTATGAATGTCGTGGGCAGATTCATAGCTTTTAGAATTCTTAAAATAAAGTCCCAGCTGATTGTGTAATGCCTTACGGAGGTCGACTTTCAGCATAGCGCTGGGTGATGAGGACGGCCGGTTATAGTCTCGTATAAGCTCTGAGGCTAGCAAGACATTTTCAATCATAAGACGTCCCTTCAAAAAGGCAGATTGGTTGTGTTAGATGACAGAGTCCAAGATTGTTCTTAGCTTCTTGGCGAGTAGGATGGATATGATCTTGTACACAGTATTGCAGCAACTTATCGGCCGAAAGTCTGTAAGAGTGACAGCCCCCGGTTTCTTTGCAATTAATGTGATGGTCGTTGCATTTAGTTGCCCAAGAAGTTTTCCTGTTAGAAAGACGTCCTGCACAGCAGCTATAAGGTCATTCCCAACAATTTCCCAAGCAGCCACAAAGAATTCTTTCGGGAAGCCGTCTGGTCCCGGAGCCTTGTTATTGGGCATGCTGAGTAGTACTGATTTTATTTCCTCTGTTGTGGGTATTCTAATAAGCTCACTTGCTATTTCAGCGCTACAAGAGAAGTGCAAAATATCCCTCAGCCATTCATCAGGAGGGCTGCAGACACTGGGGTCTTGTCGGCCAATAAGGTCTGAAAAGAATTCCACGGCATGTTGTTTGATATCCTCTCTGTTCTCCAACCTCTGTCCATGTTGGTCTTCTAGGAAGTGTATATGATTTTTAGCAACTCTACCCTTCGCTAGCCTGTGGAAGTACCCCGTGTTCTTGTCGCCCAGCCTCAACCAGTTTATCCTTGACCTCTGTCGGTAGAATGATTCCTCAGCAGCCGATAGGATTGCCCATTCTTTTCGGATGTGTTGTTCTGCTGCCACGTCTGCTGTTGGGGAAGTTAAGAGTAGGTGCTGAGCCTGTTTAAGCTTGTTACCAACCTCTTGGACCCGCTTGGAAATATCACTCAATTGAGTTCGGTTCAATAATCTCATGGGGTTCTTAACTGCCGCTAGAGCTTTGCAGAATCTGAATTGGCTTGTTCCCACCCAATTGTTTATGTTCCAACCATCAATGACAACCTGCAAGAACTCAGAATGTATTGTAAGGTGATGGAAGAATTTAAATGGTTTCCGAACCTTATCATGCTCCATAGGAAGGCGCACTAAGCATAGTGAATGATCGGATGGCCCTGGTTCGACGAATTCAGCGAACACGTCCAGATACTGCTCATGCCATTTGTCGTTACACATTGCCCGATCCAGCTTGACAGCCAAAGGGTTTAGGGTGTTCTTGTTGCACCATGTGAAGTGTAGACCTCTGCTAGTTATGTCTGTTATTGCCAAGGTATTGACACAGTCTTCAAAGTCCGTCATTCCTTGGGTTTGTTGGTGGATCCTCGGGTAGTCTGAGTGCTCCGAGGGGAATAATATCTGGTTGAAGTCCCCAGTAATGAGCCAGGGTGAACTGAGTACCGGTTGGTAGCCGGAGATATGCACAAGTTCCCTCCATAAATCTTGTCTTTCTGATACTTGGTTGCTCGCATATACTATTGTTGTGGTGAAAGAGCGGCTGGAACCAACGTTCGGACTGGGGTAGAAGATGCCACATGTGACTGCTTGTTTCGAAACTTGGTATATGGCACTGTTACTGTAGGATCCCAAACAATCCAAATGCGACCAAATCCATCTTGAGTGTAGTTACAGAAATGTTTCCATCCATCCGGCACAGCATGAGTGATTCTACTTGCATTAGCCGCTTGAATGTGAGTCTCCAGCAATCCACCTACTAGCACTTTATTGTCCAAAATCCACTTTCTAACCAAAAATTGCTTCGAATGGCCATTAAGGCCTCTTATATTCCACGCAAAAAACATGGGCTATCCGATGTGTAATTAATTATCTCTCGTGGCTTTGCGGCCACGTTTTTTCAGCTTCTCTTTCCTAGAGGAGGATCCCGATTTCTTTATTTGTTGATTCGCAGATGTTGTACCAGTAGCTGGCTCTGGTGTTTCCTTACCCTGCTTCAGTGATGATGCTTCTTCCGGTTCTTTCGGTGGCTGCTGAGCCTATACAGGAGGAGTCATGGGAGGGAAGAGTGAATCAGATCCTTTCTCCAGTAGATTCTTTCCGTCTTCACGAGTCTGTGTTATCTCTGGTATCTCTTGCTGGATTACCCCTGGTTGGATTAGGTCAGCCACTATAGCAGAGGATGATGTAGCTGCTAAAATCTTTTCCTGTGGGTTGGCTTGTGCCTCCTGCCTAATTATTTGGCCTTGCTGTCGGTTGCTGTGCCTGGTGACAAGCTTCCATATTTGTGTTGATGGTTCAACACTAGGAGGTGGAGGGTGTTTCAGACAGTGTTTGGCGTTGTGGCCCGTCTCCTTGCATAGATTGCATTGTGGTGGAAGCCATTCATATGTCACCTCGATGAAATGTTCTCTTCCATCTGGTAGATTGACCGCTACCCGACTCGGTAAGGGGTATCGGAGTAGGACTTCTGTGTAAATTCTTGCTACAGATACATTATCTTTAGCAGCCGTCGACCGATCAAAGTATATAGGTTGTCCCACCCCTGTGGCAATTCTGCTTAGGCTGTCTGCATTGTACATCGACTGGGGCAGATTACGGAACGAGACCCATGTGGAGACGGCGTTCATGGGTGGCTTGTCTGGATTGTGGTATGGATTCCAAGAGGTGACGAACAAGGGACATTGTCCGACATACCAGAATTTTCTCGAGAGGATGTAGTTGCGGGCAGCTTCACTTGGTACTTTGAACAGGTAAGTGCCGCTACCGACGTCTTGGACCCTGATCCGAGTGCCACCACGCAACCATAGGGCGTTGACAACTCCGATTATCCGACCCATTGCAGGGGGCAGACCTTAGAATTAGCCAATCATAAATTCTTTCCACTCACCGATTGAGCCGGTGATCGATTCTTCAGGGATCGTTATGAGGGGAACTCCAGAGGCATGAGTACCCGGAGTACCGATGCGCTTGAGGCTACGGTTGTCAGGGTGCTTGCTCTAGGTCTCCGCCTGTTGTTTTCCAGGTTCAACAGGCTTTGTAAGGGCTACCGACTGATTTTCAAGCTGAGGTTGCTCTGTTCGACTCCGTATTAGCGAGACTTCGGACACTAGGAGAGCAGGCGAGGAAGTTGCTCTGTTCGATGCCGAAGGAGGGCATGACAGAGAGTTGCGCCGAACTAGTGACGGAGAGGGGCTACTTGTACGAGTGGCGGATGGCCTCTCTTCCAGCGGACCCTGTTGGTGTAGGTCGGCCGTAGTCTTCTGGATTTTCCAGCGTGGGTCGCTGATTCGGGCAATAGTGGAGAAGGGGGTGGGGGGCAGAGTCGACATCGATGGCCTTCAGTTGGAGGAGCGCCGAGAATCCCTTGCAAGGGTGGGGCTGATGCAGATCTCAGCCTTGGAGCCATATTTTTCGATTTTTGGTTGGGGGTTTGTTTTACTGACGGTAGTGGGCCAATCAGGATTTTCCGGTCTTGATTCCGGCCGGCCACGGAGTGCGGGTGAAGGCGGCTAGGGCTTCAGGATAGGGAGCGAAATGTAGCTTCAAGATCCATCATCATGGCTGGTTTCTGCCCGTGAATAAACATACATTACAACGAATAACATCATTTTTGGTAGGGGTGTCAAACGAGCCAGCTCGGATCATTTTGGGCTCGGCTCATTTGGCTCGGATCGTTTTGGGCTCAGCTCGTTAGGCTCGTTTTCTAACGAGCTAGAAAAACCTCGGCTCAGATCGCTCGCCAGTTTTCCGATCTGAACGAGCCGGCTCGTTGAGCCAAGGATATATAATATTTTTTATTTATATTTATTTTAAATATAATTATAAATTTAAATAAATACATAAAAATTTAATAAAACACCAATACCATTTAATATTTTTAATTATCACCATCATAATAATTAGTATATTTATAATATTATATAAACAATATGAAAAAAATTAATATAAAATTATATTAGAGTTTTTTTTATATAAATTTAATATATTTAAAAAAAATATCTGCTCGTTGAGCAGCTCGCCAACTCGCCGAGCCAGGCTCATTGAACACGTGTTCAATGAGCTCTGGCTCGTTAGGCTCGTTTTTTAACGAGCTGAAAAAATTACGGCTCAGATCGCTCGTTTTCTAGCGAGCCACGAGCCAGCTCGCGAGCCGGGCTCGTTTTGACACCCCTAATTTTTGGTATTACCTAACAAAATTGAAAAACATCGCACTAAAGATCTTATAAGAAATTATCGAAAAATATCAATAGATCAAATGGAAAAAATTCAATTTATATAAAATAGATTATTGTTAAAAAAAAATCAAATCTTAATAGATTAAATGAAAAATTCATTTTACAGAAAATAGATTATAGTTAAATTTAAATAAATAAAAAAGTTATCTTTATTATATAAGAAAGAAAACATTCTGAAGTAAAAAAAATTCAATTGGTTTTGAAAATCATAATTTTAATTTATTATATTACATGCAATCTAAAAGAATTAAAAAAAAACAGACAATACTTTTTTTTTGGATTTAAATGTGATTTAAAACCAAAAACAAAACGTCATATTCATTTATCCACCAATTTCCATATTTAATACATTATATTATTGGCAAAGATTTTGAAATTGTCATTGAATTTTGCCCAGAAGTATATATACTCAGTAAAAGATAGCTACAAAATATTTTATATAACCATTTTTTAACATCCGTTTTGTAATTTTTACAAAAAAAAAAACATCCATTTCGTAGTTATATATGAGCGGAGTACGAAAAAAAATACAGAGTTGGTTGCCATGGC